GTAAGGTTTTGCCTAACGAACTGACTTTGCCTTTTATCTCCATGCATGATGAAGTTCTTCTTTGGTCTTGGGCCAGGAGACTCAGCATTGTGCACAGCCACAGAATGATCACACCACCCTGATTTGCTGGTGTGTCATTGCATCTCCAAAGGCTAATGCCATAAATATCTTCATTCCTTACTGCAGATAATGRGGAACAGAGTCCCTGGCTCTTCCTTAAACCTGTCTGCAAAAAGTTGCAGCGTTCCCAGGGCTTCTTTAAGTCCAGTGATGCCTAAAGAAAGTGGTGATCCAAGAAAGATGATGTATCTTAATATCTCCAGGATTTTGTAAATGCAAAAATAAAATGGAGCATACAAACTGCTGATTCTTTTCCATTCATTTCATGTATTTTATATACTTAGCTTGAGCAGTCACTTGATCATACAATTTGACTTCCTACACATTAGATGACCAGAAGTCCATTATATTACTCTCGTACCCATGCATTAAGCACAAATAATTTGTTTCCTGAAGCCTTCATTAATCTCTAGAACATTTTTTTTTCACTTTATGTCTGAAGTCCATTTTCTAAACTCTGCTGTTGTTATCTGTTAGCTGCACACCTAAATAATGTGGTTCTCCAAAAAGATCAGCAATTCAGGACCACCCATGGAAGGACAAAAGACATCCACCTTAGCAAGTGCTAGAGAGCCAAGGCTACTGGGGATATTTGAACTCTATTTTTAGATTAAAAGTAGCATCATGCTACAGAAATAAAAAGTGACAATATCTGAAGTTTCACCTGGAATGAAACAACTCTCTATTTTTATCCTTTTTCACAGGCTCTTGTGGCAGTTAATCCAGCTAGTGTGGACATAAAATCACACAATTGATGGAATATTTCTTCTCAGACATTTAGTCTATCATTGTTCCAATAACTGAAGAAGAATAGTGACAAGATTAGCAAAAAGTTAAAAAAAAAACAACAAACCAACTTGTATAACATGAAGGTTGCTGATTTATTTTCTTACTTGAAGCTAACCAGTATGTGGAAGCATTTTGAAAATTCTTCTAGTAATCCACTCCTCTTTGAAATTACATCAGTTAATTATTTTTCTTTTATATTAACAGAATATGAACCACAATTTTTCATTTAGTTTAACTGTGAAACTTTTTTGACAATGAATTACTTGTATCTTTAAAAAAATAATAAATTAGATTTCTATTTTAAAGTAGCAATTGTTAAAAGCAAAGACAGCCAAATAAGACATTAATGCACAAAGGATTGAGTGGATGTAGCCCTGTTGAATGTGATTTTCTTGCTGGCTGTGAAGTTGCTTCACGACAGACATTGCACTTATTATAAGGAGTATACAGATGTGGGACAGATTGTGCTGCCTTGGGTGTGATGGCCACCAAAAGTGGTCAAAACCATTATCTGATTTATGTCAGCTTTGTTCACCATTTTTATCATGCAAAAGTAACAAAATACCAACAAACATAGGCTCTAAGTCTTACAGTTGTTGGCATCTATTTTACAGTTTCATTGAATTAAATTTTGGAATACAATGCAGGGACACCTTAAGTGTCCTGATAATTTATTTGGGGTTTGTAATTGTACATGATAGAATAACCAYAGTTTCTATTTTTTGGTGTTTGTTTTCATTTCTGTATTTGTGTTTTCCTTCTGCTTTCCTTTGTGATCCAGTTTCTTTTATTTGTACTGCATTAAGGAAGTAATTATTTTTTGCCAAAGGCTTCACTTGTATGTGTTTACAGAGTACTTATTATTAACCATTCTGACTGGTTTGTAAGATTGTCAGCTTTACAYATAATCCTGCATAAAAACTTACATYYAGTGCTAATGTCTAAAATGATAAAATAAAAAAAAACAAGAATCAGTAGAAATAAGGCTTCTTAYGGGTTTAGCTTAAGTCAAATTTGTTAAGAAACCGTTTTTGTTTTGATTTTGGATTTTAAAAATGGCACTGTCTTATTGCTAAAGATGCAAGATAAATCTATTGTGAGTCTTCAGCTCTCTACTTCATGTTTAGAGCTAAAACCACAATTGTTGAGAATAGACCTTCACTCTTTATTCAAAAATTTTTAAATGTAAATAATAGGGGGAAAAAAAAAACAGATAAAATTTTTAACTAACTAGATTTTCCCACYGCATGAAATGTTTTGCATTAAGCCAATTCAAAATACTCCCATGCTGAAATTATCCAGAAAAATATGACAAACACATAATTATTCTGATGATTCATACAGTCACCAATGACATGGAAAAATCAAATGCGAATTCTTTATTCTTCATGACCACAGGTAGTCCAGACAAGGGATTGCTTTCTTCCACAACCCAGATAGGTAATCTTAACCCCTGGGTTCATGAACTCAATCTTTTTCTTGTTTGTCTAATGAATATTGAGYTATTTGTACAGTTTTCTTTCAATACTGAAGAGATTAAGTCAACACTGAATACTGAGATGGTTTTGAGTAAAAACTGGAACACATACTCTTCTTCCAGATTTCAGACTCTTAAGAACTTTACAAATTTTTTTTTCTCCAAACCTCACAAAATTTTTGCATTAAAAACYCTTGAAACTTTGTATAACAACATGCCATGTTTTCTGAGTAAGCAAAACAAAACAAAACCCTCCGAAATTTCTGCTTTATTCAAGGAAAAAAATACTGGTTAAATCAGCTCAGAAATTTATGAAGGCAGAGAAATGACTGTTTATCTATTTTTTTTCCTTTTTTTCCCCTGCAAATCATTGCCTAAAATTTTAAACTTTATCGTACAAAAAGAAAAAAACCCTTTGTTTCTGAGAATTGTAAACAAACTTGGTAATATTTCACATGCAAAATCCATTAATACTTTTTCTTGCAGTCTKGAATATGGTGAATTATTTCTTGGAAAAATCTGCACTATTTTAATGTTCTGTGACCGTGTATCTATTAATGGTCCTTCGGATCTGATGCCCAAACCAAAGCTAACTGCACWCAAAAAATATTTTTAAAAAGATGAGCAGCTTTCTTTTGTATTAAATTGCATTAATTTCACGCCACTGGGCTTTAAGTTCTGTTTCTTTAAATTGCTATGTAAAAATGCACATGAGCATAGGGCCATTGAGACTTGTTTCTGCTGATATCAAAAGAATTTATACTCAGRGGAACTGAACAAAATGCTGAAATATAGTAATATAAAATATAAATATAGAAATATAAACCACAAATATGCAAAATAGGTACCTCAAACTCTATAAGTCATAGTTAATTGAATGGGGTTTRCTTTAATTTAATTAGATGTGGCTCTCTGGTATTAATGCYCAGAAAATATTCTSGTCTTAAGGTCATTGTTTCTATAAAATGCCAGTGTTATATTTCAATTGTCACTGCARCTGTTCATTCTTGTGGTTTGTAGGGTTAAACACAAGGAACTAGGAAAAAAATGCTTTGGYTAGGAAGAATAATAATYCTGAGCTCAGAAGTAATTCCCATTGTCTTCCCTGGAGAATGAAACTCCATATCATCCAAATGCTCTTTTATCCCAGAAATAGGTTTCAATGAAAAGAAAGAGTATACTGGTTAATGTTTTTTTAAAAAAAATTATATTTCAATTCACATTGTCCCTAATCAGATCTCAGTCAGACAGAAACTATCTTTGTAAACAAAGCCCTAGTAATAATTATGCCTGTAAAGAAAATTATATCTGAGAGTGTAAATTGACAACAGCTAAATTAAATTAGCTTTTCTTTGCTTTTTTCTCTTTCTCCTTGTCTTTATATGAAGTATCATTCCCATCTAGTGCAATTAAAAAAGGATATTTTTCTTCTATTTATATCTGGTGTCACGTGCACATCCACTAAATTAGGAGTATGAAGTTCCCCTGGTATGAGATAGTTGGCTCAAGTAGTCAAGTTCATGGATGAAGCAGAAAAAGAGCCTCACAGACTCCCAAAACTGCTTTCTCATACTGGGCATGATCAAAGTGGAAACAGCCAAAATAGACACACATTCAGCACAAGAAAGTAACATTTCAAGACAAAAACYTGTGAGTTCAAATGTGTGCATTATTGCTTTTTAAATACATTAAATACAGTTCTTGAAAATAGAACTGGAATATTAAACTTATAGAAGAATAACATAAATCTTACTTGAAACCTGGCAAAAAAACCATAAGCAATTTCATGCTAAGGCACATAAGTTTTTAAGAACTTTTGTTTGGGCATCTGTGAAAGTGTGCTGCTGAATTGATAAGGCAAACCATATTTATAAAGAGAAACCTCAACAACAGAGCAACCCTCAGAGCAAAGAAAAAGAGAGGGCATTCCATGATTACTAAGGACTTACAATTATTAATTTTTCAGCTTTATTTATTATTTAGAAGTGTATAACCCTTCACACTGATCTAAGACCTAAATGCCAAGTACCCACATGGGKCATAAATGTATTCAACCAATGAGAAAAGTTTAGAAATTCTCGTAATGATCTGAAATAGAGTAAGGTTCAGAACATTTACAAATAAATATTCTTATTCTGAAATTCTAAGAGCTATGATCCAGTTCAAAATGATTATCAGACAGAAAGTKGTCAGAGTTCAATCACAGTATTATTCTAAGGTGTTTTTCCTTACTTCCAGATTGCAGTTTCACTCTTCCAGAGGATTCTCTCTTTTCAGATGATTTTGGTGTGAATGTAAATAAAGGCAACACTGTTTACATATGACATTTTGAATAATCCTTTTGTCTTGGGCACATGTGAAGGAGTACAAGATGTAAGAGACTGCTGGAGCTGCAAAATTTATCTACTAATTCTTCTGAGAATTGCCAGTRATTTGTTTGGGGAGAATTTCCTTCTTACATCTGACAATTGTTTCCAGAACTATTGTAGAAGTCGTATTGATTTGTTTTTCTTTAAGAAAACGCAGCAAAAATTGTTTGTTTGTTTAAAAGCTAATGTTGGCATTTCCCTCCACTCAGATGTTTTTTTTTCCTATGGATCTTTTTCTTAGGTGCAGCAAAATTCTGCAATGAGAATCAGTCCATCTTCAAGAGCTTCACTAGATGGAATGAAGTTCAAACACCTGGACTTTGTTGCACCCCAAGGTTTCCAGATAACCTGAAATTTTCTAGGTAAGCTGTGGGGGAAAGGGGCCCCACAAGCCCTGAYTCTGAAACTCATCCAATTATTGTGTACGACTGAGGCCTGGGAAAAGAAAGGGATGTTACCAGCCTACATGGAGGAGGAATGCCGCATCCTTGAGAAATGGGGATTGGAATGTAGAATTGATAACGCAGGTGGCTGGAAATTATAAGCATTACTAATACTGTAGCTTTTGCAAACTYACCAATTATGTTCTGATTACTAATTAAACAGCTGTCTCTTGACCAATGTATGTTTGACACAAATGTATGCACTGGTTGCTAAAGTAGATAAAAGAAGCTTGTCCCACAATAAAGTCCTTCTTTCTTTCTGTTTTTTTCACCCACTTTTGTGTGTTTTGTATCTATTCTTTTCTGTTGCTGTTTGGCCAGCAGCGACAGTAAGCATTTTTTCCCACATAGAGGSCATTGTTTCTGAGGGATCTGTTTGMAAAGTTTGATRGCTTTTGTTRGSTAAARRCTGGCATGGCTTTAGTTCAGCCATTGGTCTTTTTCTTGCTTCATGAATAAAATAGTCCTTTCCTATATTATATATGTCACTATTTTGATGCAGTGAAACTAACACAAAGCAGAGTAAAAGAAACAGCTTTAGCAGGAGACTGCTGCTGCTCTGTGCTGTCTCAGCTGAGTGATCTGCYCTGTGTCAGAGCTCTGTCTCAGCTGTCTCTGACAGACACACACCTTGAGGAGGTGAGGAGCGCAGAATTTGGCAGTCGGTTTCCTGGAGAGCAGCCCATTGTTGCATGAGATCCCGGGAGGTTCTTTGTGACATCGGTGTCAATTGAAATCTGGCTAGAAGAGAAAGGATTTTGAAAAGCCTGGAACCACCTCGAAGAGTGGACTGGCTCATCCTTTAATTCCTCTGGCAAAGACGGGGCTCTAGTGAGGAAGCATGAGAGTTTGGGAATACAAAAATCATATTGCAAACGTGAAAATGTCGATCATAATCTGCCTGCCTGCACAGCAGAAATGTCTTCTGTGATAACTACAAATGCTGACAGCATCTATCTTAATAAATAAGTATGCATGTTAAAAGCATAAACACATCTAAAATTAATCTAAAATACTTTTTTTTCTAATCAGAATATGAATATTTACTTTCCTCTAGGTTTTGAAATGGAGCACAACAGTGCTGTAAAAATGTATAAATATTACAAGTTCATTATGGACGAGATTTTTTTTCCAGTTAGATTGAACAGCAATTGTTATTTACTCTCATCACAAAATATATATTGAAATTCATATATAAAAGAGCAAATACCAGTTAAATTCTTTAAGATCATTAAAACAAATATTTGTAATGTTTTAATTTTGCAGGTTTGTAGACTGCCATGTCATTTCAAACTAGCTTTGGTGCTCAAGTGAATAGTTTACATAAACATCTACTCCAACAGATCTGTTGCAGCAAATTTACAGAATAGGTCTCTAAACWGTCACAGTCATTGTTTTATTATATTCTGGCACTCAAACACATAGTCTCAACAGAATCTTTCTGTCAACATTATGAGATTGCTGTGACACCTTGCTAGTCCTTGAAGTTGATGGCAAATTGATATTCATAACATCCTATAAAGGAACTGTGGTRGTATGGACTTAATGATTCTTTTTTAACTCAGTGTAGCTGCTTTGGTCACTGTACATCAAAGGTACCTAAAACTGTATGCAAAATAAACTTTACCTACTTGAAAACTTAATTCAACCTACCAATAGGCAGTCTGTATAGATTGTGTAAAACCAGTCCTGGTTTCAGCATTTTTTGTCTTAAAAACGGGGTAAAAATGAATGTACTATTTAGAGGAAATCAGTGTAATATTTTTGAGGTTGGTGAAGAAAGCATCAACATCAGGAATGAACAGTGTAAATAGAATAATATATTATGTTTGCTATTCTAGGACCAGATCTGAAGAGAGGCAAGAGAGTTCTGCTTCTACTTTTTTGCTAGAACAAGCAGAGTTGAAGGAATTCCAGAAAGGCTCAGGAAAGTTCCTAGACCAAAAGAGAAAATTACTTTTTACAATAAGATACTGCAGCTCTGGAAAAAACATGCTGAAAATAGTCGTAAGTAAATCTCATTATAGCTCTGCTGATTTGCCTGATGGGTCCTGAGTTTCATTTTCATATTTATTCTATAATTTATAATGTTTTTAGATTTCAATTCACTCAATGATGGCTTTTTGAATCCTTCTTGGGCTTGGACTTTATCGTCATATTCTGTGTCTTCACAGAATACTTTATCTTCAGACACCTTTCCTGTCTCTCCCTGCCTTTCTCCATTGCTCTTTCTAATTTCCTCGGATTTGTGGCATATGGGAGTAGATGCTTGCTTGCCCCCAAGGGTGTTGCCTAATATCAAAAGATAAAACTCTTGCAACAGTATTAAAATAGCAAAATAAAAAGCAGGTTTCTACTGGAATCTTCCACCCAAATTTCTACAATTTTGTAAGTCTAACAAATTAGCATATCTAGCAAACATTGTCCAATTAGAAGAGCAGGTGGTTAGGTAATTTTCCCCTGGATTCTGCCCCACTGGCGTTGGTCCAGGGGCTTCATTGTCCCATTTCTTGTTGCCTCTTCTCAGATTCTGGTTGCAAAACAAAATATCCTTGGTCGTTTTCTTCTTGAAACTAAACTAAAGACCAAATAATATTTCAGGAGAGTGTTAGAAGGTTAGCTTACTGTTCTAAAATGTGCGTGAAAAGGGTAGGAAAAATACCAGAATCTAAAACCTTGTATTAGTAGTCTACAAAGCTACAAATATATGAAAAATGTATAGAAAGCAAAAAATTTTAGGCATCAAGGGAAGAAGCAATGACTTTTTGTTTCCAGCTGGTGAACAGTGAAGAGCAGCTCCTGCCCAGCTCTGTGATTGAGGCAACAAAACAAACAGGGGGATTTGGTTACTGTGCACAGTGAGGTGCTCTGTGATGCTGACATCAACAATGCTCTAAGTTCTTGAGTTCAGATTTAATTTTAATGTTTTCATTGGGTCTTTTATTTCACTGAAATCACCTTGAGAAACTGAAGCTTTTTACAAAACTTTGAAGTTACTCTGGGCCGATTGTCTGTTATTAAAACTTTAGGGTCTTCTTTGAAAAACAGTCCTCTTCTGTTTTTTTTTTTTTTTTTTTTTTTTTTTTTTTAAATATATACGTAGAACTGAAAATTGAGATTGCCATCCATCTGGAAGAAAAAGCCAGTGTTTTGAAATAGTTCCTTTGCTTAGGCAGAGGCTTACCAGCACTACATTTAGAGTCTGGGACAGAAGTGATGTTGATTTGTTGTAGAAACCAGACTCAATCCTGCCATCACCCCTGCCCTGCCTGCTGAAGCRGAGGCAGATGGATCTGATGGCAATCAGTTGCACCAGAGAACTGCAGACATTGATGGATGTTCAGCACTCTGCCCATACTGTTCTTCTCTTCAGGGAGACAGACCTATGGCTTTGGGTTCTGCTTTAAGATTCTCTGGTCCTATTGCAAGACAGAATTCTCACTGTTATTACCTCTAAGCAGAGAAGGAATTCATATTTACATTTTCATTCAGCAACACAACTTCCTAGAAGAGGGCTGCATCAGGGAAAAAAATAAGTGATTTATAGATATTCTTTGGCTGTGGATTATTCTAGTGCAATACCAGCTTCCAACCTTAAAAAAAGGTCAGAGCTTTCATAGATGGATCTGTTTCATCTCCTACTGAGAAAAGTGGGAAGACTTCAATAACTTCACAGGGAGCTTAGCTGGCAKAGCAAAGCCTTCCTGAGTAGTGCTATGTGGCCTAGTTGAAATCCACCAATTATACTGTATTTTGCTGCAAGGTCTGGGTAAGGTCATAGTTATACAAGTTCMCCATTTAAGTGCRTKCTCYKACAATTCAGATCGTGCCAAGTTARCACCATTTCCACAAAACCTAAAATRTATAACAAYRATGGTWACCATTTYRTCTTGTTCAGCAAATTAGAAGGGTTGAATTTTATTTAACTTCTCATTCCACCGCAGTAGTGGTTGGCATTAGACGTTGATCTTTGTCTCAAAAATGCATAAATGTGTAAGTGAAGTGATTTTAATAATTTCTTAACTTGGGTTGAAATACAGATTCTGGGACAGTCACTCTTAAAAATATGGTCATTCCTAACCTCTCCATTATTCTCCAAGCATCCTGAAGTGATGATCATTTGAAAATTATCTACTCTGGTTTTCTCTTTCAAACTAGTGCTTTCCTTGATTCAAGGGCCATGGAAAATTTGTCATCCCAACATCTTTTCTTCTTTCTTCAGACTGTGTAAGTTATCTTTGATTTACTTCTTTCTGAGGGCATCCCTGCCTGGCAATAAATAAATATATCTCTGGTTTAATGCTATTTCTCCCCTTGGGTGTCTTTCAAATGCTTTTAACTAGAAGGCATTTTGCTGAAGTAATCCATCAATGCTAGTAAGACCTCGTTCAAATTGTGGGGGCCAGTATATAGTAATTTGACTGATTCTCAAGGACATTAAAAGAACATTTACCATGCATAAAGCCGTGTCTGTTACTCATAGGAATGTTCATCTAAGTTTGAAAATTTTAATTAAGGAAGCTAAGTAGAATTTGGAAATTTTCCTGATTCCTCCCAATAATTGGGAAACTGTTTGAATGTGGATAAAATCATGTACTTTAGATGGAGACAATGAAAATGGAACAAAGAAGAAAACGAAGAAACAAAACCCCACAATGACAGCAACAACAACAAGCCCCACAAAAAACCAACACAGAAAAAAGGAAACCAAAATCTTTTCTGATCTTTTCCACAAAAGAATCAATTATTAATGCGACTACAAAGTCAAAAGTTTTTTCTTTTCCTTCAGCTGATGTGGAGACATAAGGAAAAGCAAGCAGGCAGGGAAATTCCGTTTCCTCCACCTACCTACTCTTCCTTGTTTTTCAGGTTTTGAATCAGACAGTAAACTCTTACAGAATCAGGCAAGGAATTGCTATATACTTTAAGTAGTAATAAAAAAAAAATCTGATACTGAAGTGTTAATGTGGAAATAGTTCAGAGTTTTCTGAATAGTTCTGAAGGGATTAATTACTGTATTCCTGGAGTCAGGCTATAGAACAGCTAAAGTGGAAATCTGAAAATGAAAAACAGTATTTTGCATGTTCACCCTGTTTTATGTATAGCATATGTTTCGTTTACCTTATTTTATTCCTGTTCTATATGGCTATTGTGCCCTGGATATTTATGTGCAGGTTGATGTATGAGTGTATTACCACTATTATTATAAAAGAACACTTTWCAGTTATTTTGTAGCAAAACCAAGACTGAACAGCTGAATAAACTGATAGATCTTCCAAGGAAATAAAGTATTTCATTATAAGTAACTTGTAGGAGTACAAATGCTTGGCGTTCATAGCTATTGCTTCTGGAGAGGCTTAGGTGCATTCCCATTACATCTTAAAACTCAGTGCCAGGCAGGAGCCAACGCCAAGGCCGTTGATATATCAACATTCTTTACTGCAGCTGTGCTTTTGCTGTGTGCTTTTTGTTTGTTCCCGTGCTGAATAAAAGCCTGCAGACCAAGTTACCCTATAATTCTGGATAATTGGGTTATTCATTTTAAAACCCTTGGATGGTGGGAGGAAATAATCGCTGTGCCTGTATGAATTGGAAAGGTGCCATTCCGTTGAAACCAAGGTGAGACAATTTGTTTCTGGAATGCTAGGGAGAACTGAACTGCTTCAGARTGAATGCCTTTTTGAGATAAAACTAGACTAAACAGCTTTAAGCTTCCCTTTACTTGCTGGTGCCTGCAGTTCTGAACATTTTAATTGAGGCTTTTCTTTTGTTCCACATAAAAGAAAGCTTTGTCAATCTGTTTGAAGTGCAATGTTATTTTGTTTAAAATAATCCATTTTGAAAATTGAACAGTAATTCATTATTTTAAAAACATTTGGTCCTATCCTAAGTTGGTGTAAAATCAATATTAAGTTAATAAGAACTATRCACRAATAAAGWATCCARTAATTTACTTCTTCCACCACACTTAATTTATGCAAGGGCCAGCATTTAGTATTATCCTAAGAGAAGCAGCATCATTTTGTTTATCATGCAAGTGATTGTATGTGTCCTTTTTGATCTATGAGATGTGAAGCCTTAGGCACTAATTAAAAGCTTTGGCCTTGGATACGATGTTTCTGCTATATCTTGTCTGCCTTCAAAATATGAATATAATCACCTTTTAAGAAAATTATTTATGGTTATTCCAGACTAAAATCCTTAAATCTACATATCTAAATATTGCCAAACTATATCTACTTTAAATTCTTCAAATTCAAGCATSTCTAAACAACATTTCATGTCAAAGAATTCAGTACACAGACAAGACCACTAAAATTCAAAGCTGAGCATCTAAAGTTTGGCTTTATTAATAAAACATTCTAGCACCAAACAACAGAATACATTTTCTCATCCGTTATCAGATGTCCAGGGAAAGTGATGAATTCTGAAGAAAGTAAGATGATGTTGTCACAGTTTTCAATAAAAGACAAACACTTCAGGGAATATGTTTCTATTTCCTTCCTGATAATGACTAAGTTCTTGCACAACGGTACAGAATGTAATGAGATATTGAAGGCTGTGTGRAGTTGCAGCTACAGTCATTGAGGACATTTCCTTAAAAGTGAGCWCKCTAATATAATGCAKAACTGATCATAATCTATAAAATCTTAGGCTAAGTGAGTTTTTCTTTGGAGCKGGTCAATATAATTTTTGCTGCTGARTWGTACTGACTATAAGCAGCTTGAGAAAAATGGAAGCAGCAAATGCTTAGTACATGTAAGAACAAAACCATGAATAAGGAAAAAAAAATGATGCAAGTCTCCTTAATTCAAGGAATGATTGCTAGATAACCAGTGAGTTTGTAGAGGTTCACACTAATGAATAGCATTTACTTTGTTAAAATGAATATCTGGAAAATATACTAGATACAAATATATAATAATATATATATTATTGTATGTTATTGCCTGTCAGCTGATGATAATAGAGTATGCTTAAGTAAATCATTCATCAGTCACGGAGTGATAAAATTGAGGTATTTTCAATAACTTTTATATAAACCTCAGGTAAAACATATCTATTTAAGAAAATAAAAATTAGGTATAAAAATACAGAAAGCTGCACCATCTCTTAATAAAAAATACTTTAAAATTCCAAAAAGCCTAAATAAAAAACTTATTTCTACCTATTCAAGATAAGATTAATAGGGAAAACAAGGGTGTTTCTAGCACCTCAAGATAATTACCACTTGCAGTGCTGTTCACAGATATAGGATGTGCATTTCATTTTCTCTGGACTTGTACAAACTCCTTTCCACGAACTTTGCCTGGACTGAGCCTGTTTGGCCTGTTTGCTTTGTCCCTGATGGACCAGTGTTAACATTTCAGGTGATGCCTCCTTTTGCAGTCAGTGACTGTGGTGGCAGCAGCCAGATCTTCAGTCCCAAAATATCTATTGAAGGAAGAAACCTGGAAGGATATAACATTATATGTGCATTATGGAAGATGATCAGTGGAAGAGAGTATAAACTTAAAAAAAATGGGGATTTCTCTCCCATTTGGAAGAGGGAACTTCTGGAGACAGCCTCAGGAGCTTCTGAAGGCAAATTGTTTCATTATTTTAGGCTATTTAGCAACTGTATAGGAATATATCAGGAAGAAGAGGAACAACAGAGATGGAGATATTAAAGAGAGATAAAAAATGAGTATGGTGTTATATGTTTGTGTATTCAAATGCAATCAGAGCTCCTGTCTGGCTGAGTGCTTCAAAATACCTGCAGATCAAAGGACAATTCTACTTTGTGTGTGGCATCCCAGAGCCAGGGAGAAGCAGAAATGTTTCATATCAGTTGGAAAACTTGTTGCTGCTATGTGGAACCTTTCTTTAATGCCATGCTTCTTCCTTGCCTCAGCTTTTCTGTGATCCTTCTGTCAGAAGAACTAGGGAAGACTTTGATCCTATACTAAAATACCATTCTTTGATTCCATACTAATCTCACACCACCAAAAMGTGTGTTTTCCCATCACGTGGCCCAGCACAGCACTGGGCCTCTGCAAGAGCCACTTGATCCTTGTTATCACATCTCTTGGAAATCAAAAATGGGACCATTTTACAACCTAGCAGAACAAACAAAATACCAAAGACTAGCTTTATTTTTATGTAAATAATGGACAAGATGAGAATGCAACCTGTTTCATTTTTGTTTAAAGGTATGATTGTCTTTGGGATATGCTAGTAGAAAGCCTGTGGAGCTGATCAGAGGATTAGCTTTTACACCAGCTGTTGCTACTGAGTGAGAGAAAAACAGTTCTGATTCAACATATTTCTCCACCACTTAAAGCACCTGAGTCATTCAGACTGGCTGCCCATAAACCTACTCTGGTTCCATTTCCACTGAAAAATCAAGGAAACTTTGAATATGAGTTTTTATAATACCTGTATACATGGAACTGTGTTATTAGTCTCTTCCTGAAATTATGTATACTAGTTTATCACTTTATCTTAAGCTAGAGCAAAAACTCATAAAGACTAAATATGCTTTAGAAAGGGATGTCTAGAAATAATCATTAGAAATAACATTTTTTTTCTTTTCTGACTGCTCAGCTGGAAAACTTTTGCTGAAAATCAGTGAATTAAGGGTCAAAAGTAATTTTACTGCGTTGACTAAAACTTTAAAATGCCTTTCCACTATAATTTGTTCTTTGAATTAATTCTTTTAAATAGCAAGAAATACTTAAATATACTCTTGCATAAGTTTTTTAATTAGTGTACCCTTTCAAGGTTATATATCTTGCTCCCATGCTGTATGGAGCAGATGAGTCTGAATTCTTGCACTATGTAGTAACTTCAAATTAATTAATTACTGAAAATTCAGGGACACAAGGTGAGAGMCAGAATTTTAATCTGAGAAAGGACAAAATGTTGGACACTTGGGTAGAGAGACAAAATAGCTAAATTTGGTGGCTGAGAGGTTGAGGAAGTCTCAGTCTGTCTCCTTTCTGAAAATAATTGTCCTGGTTCTGGTCAGATTTGGGGCAAGTTTTGCAGTAGCTTGGAGAGCTGTGGTGGAGACTCTGAATTGGGGGGTGCCATTCCTAAACCATGACAATACCTGTGGGAGGACAATGAACAGGGTTAAGCTTGCTTAGTATTCTGCATTTTATTGATTTATAGCACCAAATGCATTTAA